AACTGTTCAAAGTTCCTAATGTTACAAAATTTGTCGTTCATGACTATGACAAATTTTATGTAACGTCTTCATAGCTCAGAGTCTCTGCAAGCAAATTTACATTCTAATGTGATTCTCTATGCAGCCTTGTGACCTGAGATTACTGTCAAACTTCAAAGTTAATCTTCTCAAAGCTTGATGAATGAGAGGATACCCGGTGTCTTGGTTGTAGGATAATGTTTCACTTGAAAGAGACGTCAGCACATTGCGTTTTAATCGGGTTGAGATTTTGAAGCAGGTGGTACATTTTGTAATACTCGAATGAAGATCATTATCAGTAGTACACTGTGTACTATTCAAAAGAGATTTTTACCACTGAAATTATGTAAGGCATCAATGGAGTAAAAGTAATGACCAGTGGTATTTGATTCAAACACCTAGCGGATGGTCACGGATGAGCAGCGACATCTTCAACCATGTCCAAACAAAAATTGTGGCTAGCAACCCTCTTTTGTTGCGTGCATGCATCAACGAGAATAGACAGTGATTGTGCATAGTACTTGTTGTGTCTCAAAAAAAAAAGAAAGTACTTAGCTCACTTTTTCTCCATGTGGTATTTCTCAACCACATCTCATGCAGTAACTGGATAACGGGATGCACTCAATGGTGATCAGTAATGAGTTCTAAATAGTTGACTTACTCTGTTTTTAATTTATGTAAATCAAAATTGTTTTTTTTTTTTTTTCAGTTATGAAAATCGATGAGCTTGCTCACCTACCCGATACTATAAGGTATTCCTAGCACTTTGATCATCACCTTGCATAGTATTCAGGTATAGGTTGCCGCTAATTTTAAAACTTCACCCTGTATGTAGTCGGGTGCTGTATTATATTGTACTCTATCCTGAGTCCGATTTGAGAATGAGCCCCACATACGTTTGTGTTTTATGAGGGTAAGAATATTGTATGCTTGAGGCTCGACAACGGGTTATCCACTTTGAGTCTTAGCAATATAATGCTAGCAAATTATTCTTAGAGTACTCCCATTAGCTATCCATCATATGCCAAGCGTGTGCAAAGTGAGTCTGGTAATAAATTAATCTAAGTGTGTCCTCCATGATGAATCAATTGTTTTTTGGACTTAGAATTAGGTAATGTTCCCCTCCTCAACTATTTAAGTTTAAGATTCTTGCAGAGAAGAAAAAAAGAAAAACGATAAAATAAACTAGAGCATCCTCATCGCACCATGTACTCTTTACCATGACAAAGCGAGAGATAGAAAAGGCAACACCACTGAGCTGATGCTAACAGCATGGTGACAAAAACGCACAACAAGATTTCTCATATATTAATCAAAGTAAAGTATTTGATAGTCTTAAGTCGGAAAGTTGTAAGCATCCCTCGGATACGAAGGCTGTCAGGTTACTGATTGTTCTCCCTTGTTTCTTGCCTCTTGTCAAAGATTAAACCATTAAACAGAAAACACCATAAGGGATAATTTTTTTTTGATGATGAGATGCAATATCAACAAAAACAAGTATGATGGATGAGAGATGGAAGTCGATTATGACATGAAGTTTCATAAATTAATCGTGAGAGCACGTGCTGTCCACAAAGTCGGACGAAAAAAGTAAATTGATTATGTTTCTATTTTCATGATCGCAATGACAAGCTGCACAGTACAGACTCCTCACTAGAGACTATTGGGCAGACTAGGGTATTACTTAAATAAATGCTATCTTTTTTTTTTCCACAAAGATCTTACCAATGGATCAATTAACAAAAGTCATTTGGTGATTCTGAAGCCTTCTCAGTATTCGGTTGTCAGCGGTCAGCAGTCAACGACGAGGTACTCAATAGATTTCAATCATCTAAGACATCATCAATATCTAAGTTTGTTCTCATGTCGTTAATATTAGAAAACTCTCTCATCTGTATCAACTAGTATTTTCATCAGTGATACTTAGTCAACAGAGTTATCATCAATATTTTCTTGATCATTCACAGTCAGAGTCCATCATCATTCGGATTAGTTCTAGTATTCACCTCGACACATGAGTATGATCACTATATTTTCAGTTCAACAAACTGTTTTGACCAATTTTAACAGGGTTGCTTCCAAGGATGATTTTCAATACCAAAATGTCAGTGCAATCGGTTTTAGACAAGAAGATCTATCAATCTTCGTGGTTCTCACAAAGTTTGCAGAGATAACTATTCAGGACTTGATAATTTATGTGAAGAAGAGGAAAGAGACTCATGAGCATTTTGACTCAGTTTAGGTTACAACTGCTCGGTACATTGATAAGAGAGCAACAGTGTTTCAAGGGGGTACGAAGCTGATTCATAGTTTGGTCCTAAGCTATACTCTGACTACTATAGGCCTTCGGATCCTTTCTACCACATCGATGGTTCTTACTGGGGTGATCTGGTTAACGTGACCAAAAGGTATGTCTCACCAACAAAGATTGACTATTCGACAGTGACTAAACCATCAGAGTTTCGCCATCTTAGGCGAAGGATCTTCTCCAAGCCATATCTTCCAACTATATCGGAGGAGTTTTATGTTATGCTTGAGTTCTGAATCTTTGACTTTGGATGAATCATTACGGAATTCATAGGCTTCAAGTGACTTTACATCGTCAGACCACAATTTGAGGATGTATCAAAACGTAACCTCGAGACGAACAACCAAGAGAGAGATTAAGGATTAGACTTGAGAGGGATGCGTGACGACTCTTGAGGAATGTTGACCGCGTCCTCTCATTCGTATTTCCTGGGATTATTAAGAGTTTTCACCTTCCCTCATTGATCTTGTGATTGCCTTAAGTCAAAGTCAGTCTTGATCTTGTTTCATTGACATTGTTTGATGATATGCTCTTTGTTGATCTTGTCACAGTTCTCAAATACCTAAATTGATATTTATAATATTTTATATATATTATTTAAATTTATTATTTGCAGAATTACAATTGATGTTCCGAATCACAATCAAAGATTTATAAGACTGGGGACCGACGTAGACCGTACTAGTTGGTTAATAAGTCGCGGCCTGAGTGTAGACTCTCAATGCAAGAAATGTAGATGGTCTTTTGAATCGACAGTGCATGTTTGGTGGGATTGCCCGACCTCTAGGAGGATCTAGGAATGGTGGGTTAGACAAGGGAAAAATGGATTGGCGAAGGCTTCAAATGGGACAGGGACTGGGTACTGTTAGGTGCAGTTCCAGAGGACCTCCCTCTGAAGAAGGGTTGGGTGTACGTCGCCCAGGGGATCAGAGCAATAGGGTTTTGGATCATTTGGATAGAGCGGAACAGAGCTCAATTTGACGACAAGATCGTGCCTGATCCAGAGATCAAGGCAACAATGAAAGGCGAAGATTCAGAAACTAATCTTTGCAGAATGGAGAAGGAAGGTTCCTAGGAGTAGGAGTAGCCTAGTAGGACTAAGATGGTTTTTTGACACTTGGGGTCAAGGGGAAAAGTTAGTAACTGTAGGAGGGGAAGGTAAATTGGATTTTACAGATTCGTTGCGCGGGTAGAGGGGATTAGGATGGATACCTAGGACTTTTTACCAGGGCACTCAGTTCAACATCCACAATAGGAGGCAGAGGGGAATGAGGGGTAAGAGAGTGTTGCATGATAAAAGGGAACCGAGTTAGGTTCCAACCGTCGTATAGGCGGAAAGAGAGGCAAAAGGAGTTTTAGTGTAGACGCAACTACATAAGATAGGGGGGGGAGTAAGTACAGGGTAGGCGGAAAATGGTATTTGGAAAAACAAATGAAGAGCTACTTGTGCTTTTTTTAGTAGGCATGGTAGACGAGTTGTTGGGCGAAGGCCCACGGTTCAGTCAGAGTCGCTCCGGGTTGTTTTGTGAGGGTTCCCGACCTCAATGTTGGTCTAGAATGGAATTCCTCGCCTTTTTCCCAGAAAACAAAAAAAAAAGAAAAGCCAAAAAAAAAGGCAAAATAAATAAGAAACCACTCTTACCGCTCCGACTGACGGGATGCCTGTGTATGCCATATGCACTGGGTGCTCTCCCGCCGGTCCCGCCCACCCTGCCCTGGCGATCCCGATTCGTCTCGGTCGCTACCTGCTCGCCTCGGCGGGTCACCTTTTTCCCCGTCGGTCCGCCGGTCGTCCGCGGCTCCGACCCGACCCCCCGCTGGGCAAGGTGGCTTGCGCCTAGCTGGTTTTCCCGGCGCAAATCCCTCCTGCTTCCACCGATACCGCATTTACGTCCCCCTCCGCCGCTGCGACCGCCCGCTGCGGCTTGGGCCTCTTCGCCCGCCTGCCCGCCCGCCCGCCATCCGCCTGCCCGCCTGCTACAGTAGCATCTGTCACTTGCTCGGTGAGTGCACAGCAATCCATCTCGGTATAGCGTGGACTGTATTTGTAATTGTATAATTTGCAATTTCTAATTGTAATTGTCATTAAAGAGCCCTGCTGCAGAGCGATGACGTGCCAGCAAAGCGGTGCAGGCGGGAGCGGGGGCGGGGCCGCAGCGTTGCAGCAGAAAACTGTAGCAGCAGCAGATTTGTTGTCTGCAAAAGGCGGATCTCCTGTTCCCACCCATTTGCCTCGTCGCATCTCCCTTCCAGCAGCAGCAGCAGATCGAGGGGACGGGATGTTGGAGTTGGAGGGAAGGGATCTGCTCTGAGGTGGGATCGTCGCTTGTCTTCACGTTGTTTGGCCTTGGCTGGCGGGGATAGACTCGAGCTAGAGCACTTGGCTTTATAGCCTGCCTCTCCGCGGCGGCAGGGCAGTAGCAGTAGCAGTAGAAGTAACAGTAGCAAGATCAGGTGGAGCAGGAATGGGCCTGGTAACGAGTAGCAGTAGTAGGAGTAGGAGGAGGAGGAGGAGGGGGGCGGGGAGATTGGGGGAAGGGGGGGGGGCGGCGCTCGCGTGACAGGTGGCCTGCCAACAGGTAGTCGGACATTAGCACGCTGAGGAAAACTTGTCTTGCATGCCAAGTACGGCACGGCACAGCACGGGACTGTCCAGCGTCAGACGGGATGGCGCGGCTGAGGAGGACGGAGGAGGAGGTGGAGGTGGAGGAGGAGGAGGAGTATCTGTGGGCCTGCGTCGAGTCCCGCATAGCCTAATAATCTGTGTGTGTGTGTGTGTGTGTGTGTGTGTGTGTGTGTGAGAGAGAGAGAGAGAGAGGACTTCACCTTTCCCTACGCCGTGCGAAAGACGCAACCACTAACTGGTTCAGCCGTTCCTTCCCGACTTTTTCCCAACTCTCTCGTCTGCTGCGCCTCCACCGGCCTTTCTCCCTTTTCCCCCTTTCTGCCCGTTGGCAGACTCCCTTAATAGTAGCCTACCATCCCGCGCGGTGTGGTCCAGTCTGGTCTCCTCTCGACGAACTCCTCTTCTGTCTCCTTGAATCGAATTGTCGGCGCTTGTCTTCTCTTCCCTCTCTACTATTTAACCTTTGACTACGAGTGTCCCGATCCAGAATGACGTGGGCAATGCGTTAGGCCTTGAGAGCGAGAGGCGGCACGACCACCTGCAAAACTGTCGCCGCCCTGCGCAACCGTCCCGGCGAGGCTTTAGTTCCTCCGGTCATCTTTCTAGATTCACGTCTTTCATTCTGGCTACTCCCTCCCTCTTCCTCTCGAGCAGGTGTCACTCCCTTGTCACGCTTTTTTCTCCATCTCCGTTCTCCTCTTCCTGTCTCCGCTCTCCCATTCTTCCTCTACTTGTACATTTCTTAGTAGCCTTCGTGTCTACTTGTAAAGCTGTGTGCTTTCGTTGCTCCGCTACGGTCGATGAAATTCACACCCGGAAATTAACTAAGTTCCACTCTCCCGCGGTCAATCTGCCTCTCGATATCCTCCGACGGCGACGCAGCAGTGAGGGTCCAACAAGAAGAATGGTGAATAGTGATAAACAGAGGCCATAGAAGAAGCAGAGGAAGGAGAAGAAGGAGAAGAAGGAGAAGAAGAAGGAGAAGAAGAAGAAGGAGAAGAAGAAGGAGAAGAAGAAGAAGAAGAAGAAGAAGTGAACTCCGTGTTTGCTGTATACGTAGACGGATCCGTAGTCTCTCGTACGCATAGAGGGTGTTGTCCAGCAATCCACGGAGTTTCTCGGTGAATTTGGGAGTTGGGGGACATCATCCTGAAGACAGGCGGAACAAACGTTCATCTGCTGGAATCGTCTTCTTACCTCAGCCAGCTGCCAGCTTCTGGCGAGCAGAACAGAAGACTGTGGTTCTCAGGAGGAGATCTCGGTTTGGAGGCAGGCCGGAGGGGCAAGGAACGAAGTGGGCGGCGCCCGATTTGGTGCGCATTCGGCGGTCGCTCGCTCGCTAATCCCGGTCTCTCTCTCTCTCTCTCTCTCTCTCTCTCTCTCCCTTACCCGTTCGGTTGTTTGCAGGCTTTTTTGAGTTCTGTGTGTGGCCCAGCGTGAATGCCAGAAGATATGGATGAGTTCGATGGTCGAAGTCATTACTACTTAACGGGACCGTTGTCAGACGGAGAAGCCGAAGCGTCATCTCCGGAGATGGATTTCACGGAGGAGCAGATCTGGGAGGCAATGGATGGCAGCGGCGGGGGAGGAGGGGGGAGCGGGGGAGGAGTTGATGAGGGGCAGCGCGGGTACCTGATGAGTCGATCGCCGTCGCTTTCGAGAATGGGTTCAAACAACGGTAGACGGCCGTGGGCGTCGTCGTCGAATAGGAGCGGGGCGGGGGGGGGGGGGGATGGGCTGAACGACTACAGCAGAGGGGGGCTGCGGAGCTTGATAAGACCAAGCGCAAGGGGGTCCGGGGGGAATGTGGGGAACGAGTCGGAAAGCGAAGATGAGGAGGGGGGGGAGTATTTCGCGAACAGCGGGAGTAGTGGTGGCGCCGGCGGAGGAATGGCGGGGGCAATGAGGCAGCAAGGTCTTTTCTCGGGGGCGGAAAGTGGTGCGGGGGCGGGGGGCCAGGGGGTGCCCATAATGAGGACTGGCCAGCAGAGATCAGCGCTGATCGGCGGAGCACACAGAGAGCAGATGCCGCGATTCCGCCAGTCTGCGCCCATGGCGGTTCCGCAATGGTCGCACAGCACCTCGGGGTGCAACCTGTACCCGGAGAATGATGTAGAGGAGTGGGAGAGGGACGTCCCTGCACAGGAGTACTTCGATCTGATCCAAGCACCCGATAGGAAACAACTGGCTTTCTCTAATCTAGAGGGGAGAGGGAGGACGCTCAGAGGTAGAGACGCTCTGTCACTCAGGGACTCGGTCTGGAGGAAAATCGGCTTGGACGGTTGATCTTCTCCTCATTGCTATTGGTATAGCTGAGATGATTGTGTGCGCGCAAGGGGGAGAGAGAGAGAGAGAGAGAGAGAGAGAGAGAGAGAAGTTTTGATGATCGTTGTGTGTATCCTTTTGCCGAAAGCTGTTGTTGAAATCTGATTTGAGTGATTGATTGATTGATTTTGGTGGTGAATGATTGATCGGTTGATGAAACAATTTGCAAGAGGAGGGGTGAAGATAGGCGAAGAGCTGCTTGCGATAGAGATGGGCTTTTGGCCCGATGCGTGCGCCGTTGCTTACCGTTGGATTCCATCGTGGGAGAGGAGGACCCGGAGGCATGAGGTCTTCTCTTCTTCCTCTTCAGCAAGAAAGCAACCTTCGTGGCAGTGTCAAGATGGGTGGAGCTTGGCGATGGCCAGGATGGGATGAAGAGGAAGGGGATGGGGATCTCGTGCTTGGCGAGAGAGACTTCTATCTATCTATTATCTATTCACACAGATGAAGAGGAAAGGGGTGAGATCCCGCTCTCCACGATGCGCGCGATTCAGACCGCGGTTCCGAGCTGTGGTGGTGTTGCGTCATCTCCTCTACTCCTCGGTATTTGTAATCTATATGAGTGGCAGCACAGTGCAGCAGAAGGGAGTGGATTGGCATTGGAAGAGGAAGGGAGAGAGGAGGAGGTTGGGTGCAGGTTTTTTTTTACGATGGGAAATCGTTTGAGTGCAACGGAGGGATTGTAGTCAATCCATCTGTGTATTCATTCGTCGTACTGTGTGTGGGATATGGATGAACAAATGCTGCATTGTGGGTTATGTGCGTCCGATAGACCGGTGAATAGCTCTCCTTATACTCTCTCTCTCTCTTCCCTAATTGCCTATCAGCCAACGACAGGCAAGAGTCGCAGGAGTTGGCAGTAGCTACGTGTCTCTTCCATTTGTTGTCCCTATAGCTTGTCCCGCTCTCTTCGTCCCCCCTCCTAATTTGCGCGCGTGCCCATGCTCTCTTCAACCTGATGATGGCACAGTGCGTGTGTATATTCGTTGTTGCGGTTCTCCGTCTGTCTGTGGAATCTTTTGTCTGGAATTATAGACATCCGCTTTATTTGTGTCCCTTTCTGTTCTGTGACGGTTCATGACAGCAGCAGCAGGAGGAGGAGGAGGAGGAGGGGGAAATCTGTGACCAGGGGGCGGGGGGGGGGGGGAGGAAGGGACGCGAAGCGTTTTTTACATGAGGGCGCAGAGGCTGAACGTCAGCCCAGCGTCGACGGTGAAGAAAATCCTATTTTCTGAGTACTGACATGGAGGGGGGCCCTGTTTTACTGTCCATGGCTCTGCCTTTTCTTTTAATCTGGTCCTGTACATTTTATCTCTCTATTTTGAGTCGCCGCGTTCCAGGTATAAAGCTCACGCACACACTCACGGATGCAAATACACAAAGAAGAGAGAGAGAGAGAGAGAGAGAGAGAGAGAGAGAGAGAGAGAGAGAGAGAGAGAGAGAGAGAGGGGGGGGGGGGGGGCAGAAGGAATCCGTTTAATCGTTTGCTTCCGTGGGAGATGGCGGTGGGTTCGGTTCCCACCAGCTGTTTTTTTTTTTTTGGGTCATTTTGGCCGTCAGTGAACTTGATTTCTTCATGAGGGGGGGGGACGGAGTTGGACAGGCGAGGCGGGGGGCGAAAAGAGAGCATGAGTGAGTTCATGTAGAGGTTGTGCACATTTGAAAATGAATGTGGAGTTCTGTAGAGGAGGCTACTATGGCCTTGGTTGTGCCTTAAGGACGATGGATATAACCTCAGCGGTGGTTTATGGGAGGGGTGCGGGTTGATAATTCGTGTGTGTGTCACACAGAGAGAGAGAGAGAGAGAGAGAGAGAGAGAGAGAGAGAGAGAGAGAGGAGGAGGAGGAGGATATAGGTGGAGAAGAGGGGAGAGGGAGGGTTTGAATTCTCGGAAAAAGAGCGCTTACAGGAAAAGCTTGGGCCGAGTATCGATCGTGTTTGTGGAGTGTGCGAACGCTGTGGAATTTAGGATAGAGATGCTGGAACGTTCTGTTCCAGCAAGCAAGTCTATTTTTCTCCGCTTCTTGGACTTCGAAGTCATTGGGATTTCCTCATCTTCGGACGTTTGTTATCTTTTTAATTAGTGCTAGACTCTGTTTAATTAGTGCTAGACCGGCTGCCGAGTCTTCCTCTGCTACGCTTCAGCATCATGCTATTCATTGTCGTCGGGTGCTGCCATGTCTCTGCACTCACATTATTTGCATTATTATGTGCAACGCTCCTTTTTCTGTTAGGTAGATGCGGTGCCTCTCATCGCTCTTTTTCGGTCTGTGTGTGTGTGTGTGTGTGCGTGTGTGTGTGTGTGTGTGTGTGTGTGTGTGCTTGAAAGAGAGAAAAAGAGAGACAGAGAGAGAAAGAGAGACACAGAGAAAGAGAGACACAGAGAAAGAGAGAGAGAGAGAGAGAGAGAGAGAGAGAGAGAGAGAGAGAGAGAGAGAGGGAGGAAACTTGATTTGATGGGCCTTGAGCACTTGCGAAAGATTCGTATAATCGTATTTACTGGTTAGCTCTTTGCACGCGATGATGATGATGATGATGATGATGATGATGAGTTGACGAAGCTGCTGTCTGTGTTCTGGAACGTTCTTGCTGCTGCCGCTTCCCTTGGAGTAACGAGTGTGTACCTTAATTTTTATTTATTTTTTTATATTTTTTTCTGGTCTGTAGCATTTCTGCTCTGTCTCTGTCGTCCTTTTTTCCTCCTTTTCTGTATTTTCTGTGGCTGGCGGAGTCGGCTGGGTGTTTGCCGCTTTTATTCAAGCTCCAATATTTTTAAGCACTTTTTTTTTCCCTTTTTTTTTTTTCTTTTTTTTTCCCTAGTGGAAGCCGGTATATAGCAAGTAACAACAGTTCCGTAGTGCTTGTTGTTCCATTATGTTCGACCTCATCTTCAGGTACCCCAGAGAATCTTAGGCCCCCTCTGACGAAAATGCATATGGACCCGCGTGGCGCACTGATTCCGCCTCCGAATTAACGCCTAAAAACGCGGAAGGTTCTGGTTGTTTAAGATCTATAAGGTAGTGTACCGGTGGTGCTTTGCGCGGGAAAAATCGGCATTTTCTCATTCTGGCGGTGTATCCAGTCCCGCCGTTTCTCTCTAAAATAAATGCTGAAGAGAGAATTGTAATGAGAGGGAGGCGGGAGGGAAGGCATAAACATGAAGCAAGATTTGTCAATAAAACGTTTTACCTCTATTTGTTTTTTGGGTGAAAAGAAGCATCCAACGTTGTTTTGTCATCTTTCAGATGTGTCATTTGTGCGTCGCTGTCACTTTTTTCCCTTTTGTCCCGCTGCGTGTGTTCTTCCCCGCCTCCTCTCTTTTCAATTTTCCCTCTTCCCCTTCTTTTTCTCGGCATCTTTGCTTGAAAAGCTTGGCTTGGCCTATGGTGCCCTAAGATCGAGAGACAGAGGGCGGCCGTGTATCTTTCACTGTTCTAGCGGAAGATTCACTCTCGTTTTGCACTCTTCGAAGGTAGTGGAGCGAGGCCCATAGAAAGGTAAGATGCAAGTCATGAATCTGGTGACCAATGAAGACCAACCTACCTTTCGTCGGTATCGCTTGCAACGACGATGGAGTGATGGTGAAAGGAAGCAAGTAGTTTGTTCTTGTATAAGCTGATGTGTGTTCTGCGTGCGTGTGTGTGTGTGTGTGTGCGTGTGTGTGTGTGTGTGTGAGAGAGAGAGAGAGAAGGGCCGGCGGTGGCAGTGGGGCAGAGCATCGCAGCGATGGTGGAAGGAAGTAAGTCGTTTGTTCTTGTATAAGCTGGTGTGTGTGTGTGTGTGTGTGAGAGAGAGAGAGAGAGAGAGAGAGAGAGCTAGTGTGTGTGTGTGAGAGAGAGAGCTAGTGTGTGTGTGTGTGTG